GGAGGGGCGAGTTTCCCCTCCCTCCTCCGCGTAGCGCGGAAGCTTTCACATTTCAATAAATTATTAGAGAAAGAAGACGATTCGTTGTACCGTTCCCAAAAATAATCCTCGTCTGAATTATGTTTCCCCCCCCCCCTCCCACGCGAAGCGCGAAAGCTTTTACGTTTCATTAAATCATTAGAGAAAGAAGACGACTCGTTGTAACGTTCTCGACTCTTAATCCATGTCTAAATTCAATCCCCCCCCCCCTCCCGCACGACGCGCGGAAGCTTCGACGTTTCATTAAATTATTAGAGAAAGCAGACGATTCGTTGTACCGCTCTCGAAAATAATCCTCGTCTGAATTTATTTTCCCCCTGTCGCGCGAAGCGCGGAAGCTTATACGTTTCATTAAATCATTAGAGAAAGAAGACGAATCGTTGAACCGTTCTCGACTCTTAATCCTTGTCTAAATTCAGTTCCGACCCCCCCCCCCCCTCCCGCGCGAAGCACGGAAGCTTTTACGTTTCATTAAATCATAAGAGAAAGAAGACGATTCGTTGTGTCATTATCGACTCTCTATCTTCGTCTAAATTCAGTTCTCCCCACCCCGCGCGAAGCGCGGAAGCTTTTACGTTTCATTAAATCATTAGAGAAAGAAGACGATTCGTTATACCGTTCTCGACTCTAAATCTTTGTTTAAATCAAGTTCCTCCCGCCACTCCCGCGCGAAGCGCAGAAGCTTTTACGTTTCATTAAATCATTAGAGAAAGAAGACGACTCGTTGTACCGTTCTCGACTCTTAATCCATGTCTAAATTCAACCCCCCCCCTCCCGCACGAAGCGCGGAAGCTTCGACGTTTCATTAAATTATTAGAGAAAGCAGACGATTCGTTGTACCGCTCTCGAAAATAATCCTCGTCTGAATTTATTTTCCCCCTGTCGCGCGAAGCGCGGAAGCTTATACGTTTCATTAAATCATTAGAGAAAGAAGACGAATCGTTGAACCGTTCTCGACTTTTAATCCTTGTCTAAATTCAGTTCCGACCCCCCCCCCCCTCCCGCGCGAAGCACGGAAGCTTTTACGTTTCATTAAATCATTAGAGAAAGAAGACGATTCGTTGTGTCATTATCGACTCTTAATCTTCGTCTAAATTCAGTTCTCCCCACCCCCGCGCAAAGCGCGGAAGCTTTTACGTTTCATTAAATCATTAGAGAAAGAAGACGATTCGTTATACCGTTCTCGACTCTAAATCTTTGTCTAAATCAAGTTCCTCCCGCCACTCCCGCGCGAAGCGCAGAAGCTTTTACGTTTCATTGAATCATTAGAGAAAGAAGACGATTCGTTGGACCGTTCTCGACTCGAATCCTCGTCTGAATTTCAAAAATGTTCTTTGTCTACTCCCTTTTCTTCCTACGTCCTTTTCCTTTTCACTCCTCTCTTTATTTGGCTGGCGTTTTTGGGGGGACCACCCCACCGCCCCCCCCCCCCCCGGCTACGCGCCTGCGGTCAGATGAACCTATGTTGATACCTTGTCTGCCCCCGGTAAGCTCAGGGGTTTAAGGCAATAATTTACGGTCAGATTAGCATTCAGGGGTGCGCCTTAGGGCCCTTGGCGGGGTTCAGGGGGCAGAGCCCCGGAAGTTCAGGGGTTTTAGGCATTTAATTACGGTCAGATGAGTATTATTTTGATACCTTATTGTGACACTGGCTGGTCACTAATTGGCGTGGGTTTCAGGGGGCGGATCCCCGGGAAGCTCAATGGTTTTAGGCACTCAATTACGGTCAGATGAGTATCAAGGGGCCCGGCTTACGGCTCTTGGTTGGGTCCAGGGGGCAGAGCCCCCGGAAGCTCAGGGGTTTTAGTCGTTTTATTACGGTCAGATGAGCCTTTTTTGATACCTTATCATTTTGTGACACTGGCAGGACACTATTTGGCGTGGGGTCTAGGGGGCAGGGCCCCCAGAAATCAGGTGTTTTAGGCATTAAATTACGGTCAGAGATGAGCATCTAATGGCCCGCCTCAGGGCCCTAGGTGGAATTCAGGGGCAGAGCCCTCGAGGTTTTAGGCATTCAATTATGGTCAGATGAGCATATTTTGATACCTCATTATAATGTGACACTGGCAGTTAACTATTTTTCTTTCTTATTTCTCTTTAATATACTTTTTCAGAAAAAGTGGGGGGGGGGGGGGCTCGAGGATCCTGATCCCTGCCGTTCCGCGGGCCATTATGTAGGCATCTCAAGAAGCATTTTCTTGCCTGGCTGAAAATTTAGGAATTTGTCATTTTCCAACAAACAACTTTCCTTCATTCCTTCTCTTTTATTTTTTTGATTGGGGAGGGGGGGGGGGGGGAGGCAACAGCCTGGGAGGCAAGTCCTTTTGCCCCCCCCCCTTCCCCCCCCCCCCCCCCATCTCCTTCTTCCCTCTTTTCTTTTCTTCTTCCTCTTCTTTTTTCCCTTTCTCTCCTCTTTCCCTTTCCTTTCTTTTCCTTCTCTCTCTCTCCTTTTTTTTGCGGGGGGGGGGCCAAGGCCCGCTCGGCCCCCTGGATCCGCGCCTGGATTAAAGTAATGATGGTTATAACATCAGATTCTCTCCCATCTTTCCATTCTAAACTTCACATTATTTTCATCGGCCTACCAAAACATTAATACTGCCTAACACTACAGAGGGCGGTATTAAAAAAACGAATCGGACCGATATTTAGCCATGATTTAGTTCCCCACAAGGTGAGTTCGATTGGATAAATCCGAGATGAGAGCAAAATCATATTCCAAAAATGGGGGGGGGGGGGGGGGGGGGGGAGGGGTGATGTTGAAGAAGGATATTTGTAATTATGTTACCCATAATCAATGTGTTTTTAACTTCAACCATTATTGTTCAGTACATGTACAAATTTCTTTTGTGTTTGCAAGAGATCAATAAATATACTTTATCTTAATATTCGACGCCACACTGTAGGGGGGGGGGCTGTGTTAATTATGGCAGAAACAAAATACTTATTTGTTAATTGGAGACAAATAATTTATTGAGATGACGTGGGATATTGTGAACAGTTTGAAAAATCATCAAACCGATAATGACCCCAATCTGACCAGCTTTTTTTTTTAATGTCTGGGGTAAATGCATGGGGGCACCTAAGATCCCCTGCGTGGGATCATTCCTACTTCTGAAACATACAGCCACAAGATATTCTGAGAAATAAAGTAGTACTGCGCCTTTTAGCTGCCCCTCCTCCTATATGAATTTCTCGGATCATTTACTGCAAATGTCCCAACTCAGTCTCTCATTTTGAGTAGGCTAAATTATCAATCTTTGAAAAAGAAATGTACCGTGTTATACGTTTTCCTAGCGCCCCCTATGACCAGGGGCGGCGAACCCGGGGGACGGGGGGACACGTCCCTCTTTATTTTTTAGGGGGGATCGTCCCCCCCCCCCCCCCCCCCACCCCCCACGGAAATTTTAGAAAAATTGCAAACAAAAAATGTATAGGAAATAATGTTTAAAGACTGCAATACACTTTCAGGCTCTGAAGGGCCCAAAAAGTGCAGCGTTTAGACGAACAAAAATGCAAAAATCAAGCTCGGTCGCTATACGCTCCCTTGCATAATATCCCCGGAAAGTGGGGGGGGGTACTCAGAGTAGGTTTGGACGGGGGATTGCCGCTCAAGCCTCGAAACCCCTACCCATTTTTAAGGGTCACTTTAGGGGATTTTTCTCTAAATAAGGCCCATCTCTCACAATTCTTAGGATGAAATTTTAAGGGGAAATTTTGAAAAAAACAGACCCATTTTTAAAAGTATTTTTGTTTAAAATGAGACCGATGTTTAGGGATTTTTTGGGGGGAGGGGAAGTGACCCAATAGAGCGGCACATCCCGTTTTTCTTAATATGTGAGTACCCTCCCCCCCCCCCTCCATTATATCCTTCAAAATGTACAAGTAAATATTGTAGAAAATCTGTATTCCGTTGGTAACACCGTGATACCTGCGGAATATAGATTTTCCCTCGCATTTCGTCTCCCCCCCCCCCTGTCATGAAAAGAAATCGCCGCCCCTGCCTATGACGATATGGATCGACGCTTTGTCTAGAGATTTATATGTCCATCGGTGGATCTAGGGAAGGGGGGGGGGGGGCAAAATGAGCTGACCCCCATTCCGACACAAATTCGGTGTAAAAGGGCATCGGAATGTTTGTTTTGTATTTGTTTGTCAGTATTTTCGGATTGCGTTTCACCCCAGCCTCTATCTGCAGGAGAATTCTCGATTTGCTACATACGTGATGGCTTCTGCTTTGATAAACATAATGATAATACTAACGATAACAATGATAATAACAATTATATTTATAATAATGATAATAATGATGATACTTATGATATTAACGATAATAATAATATTAATATTTAACAGCAACAACAGGTACATTTATATAGCGCAACTACCATATGAATATTCTTTACCATGTAAAGCGAAGTATAAACCGCTATACAAATGTGACTATTATTTGTATCATTACTGCGCTTAATAAAAGTATTACATTTTTACCCCGGCTGCAGCTGAGCCGTCATGATTAGGCGCTAAAGCATTCAAGGGATTTCTTCCTACCGGGTACCCATTTACTTCATCTGGGTGGAGAGTCGAAAATGTAGATTAGTTCTACAAATTTATATTTGTGCCGCGACAGTACTCGAACCGCGAACCATGTGACCCACATTCCGTTGACGGATCCGCTAAACCACGACACCTCTACGTCAAACACTCACACTGCTTTCAATCAACCATTACCTTTAATATAACAATTAAACAGTACATGAACCTGTTTTCATCAAGCAGTGACTAAATCAGGATTTCAGCAAAGAACCAATATCACAATATAATCAACATTCAATATTTACTGACTTTAGCCTAGTATAACCTGGCAACGACACGATAACCACTCCCCTTCAACATTGCACGTTGTTAACCGATCGGGAGTCTGTTTCATGACATTCACGTGAAGTATATAACAAAGGCAACAATGGAACGGGCCGTCTTGTTGATATTCGGGATATGAATAGGGAAATAATAACTAGAGTATAATCAAGTATCATCTTCGACTGCTCTGATCAAACGGTACATGGACAGCGTTCAGACTGCATTCATCAGTTATCACAGAACTTACACGAGATTTTGATTCGCAGATATGAACCATTTTCACAATTTATTGATGCATTCCTTCTGAAGTATATAACGCTGGAAATATGGAAGATGACAGAGAATACTATGTAAGTATATATGCACCTTTTTTAATTTGACTTATAATACAACTATATTATTTATTCTGTATTTCGTATTATTGAGATTATCAATTAATGATATATTTTGATATGTAGTTCAATAATTATGTGTTTGGCCTGAACAAAAGATTTTTCTGTTCAGCTTAAAAAGTGAATTTCATACTGGGAACTGTATTTTTGTTATTCTTATCCTTCATGGTTGGATGTTAATCAATATACATTTTATTTGATATTCAAATTATTTAAACTGCTATCGTGTGTATGGAGATCTAGTACATGTATATCCTAATTCTTTTTCACTTATACTTATTTACGAATTTTGTAAGTATTCTCCGAATTTTTAGTTAGACGCGTTATGGTCGGGATAGACTATTCAAAGAATCTTAAAGGCAGCCCTATTTAATATCAACGTTATGAAGAAAAAAGATCGAAAGGTGAATAAGAAAATGGCAATAAGATGACAAAACAAAATATATTCTGGTTATGTCTTGACAGAGAGCGGTACTTTGTAGGGGATATACTGCTTACCTGGCTGACTAAAAATATGCCAACGCATTTGCGAAGGAAATAAATATTTAATCGTTATGATATGGGAAATCAAATTCAATATTCAACATTTAAGTTTGTTCATATAATGAAAAAAATTAAGAACACCATCAAGAATTCTACTATAGCGTTACAAAATTAAGCATGGGGGAAATAAAAAAATAAAAAAAATGGAGACAACTGTGAGGAAAGGCGATTTTCCTCGACATTATTGTTTTCATGGTGTAGTGGTATGTATGTTGTCGTGATTAGGGTGTTATAGGAGGAAATAAACCCGTTTAGACTACTGACCATCAACTGGCCAATAATTAAGAGAATGGTCAATTAACGGAGATAAGCAACAAACGGTTGACAGATATTATCGTCATTAGCGATTCGTAGGCAATGGACCCATATATATCTTCCATGTCTGTACCTTTCCTATCGCACTTTGTATAAATGTATCATGTATGTATTTCATCTATTGCACAAGCTGCGCCTTGAACATTTGACTATCAAGTGGATTTGGCGCCTTATAAATCATATGTATTATTATTATTATTATAGGAGACGAGGTGTTGATGGAGATTGTTTTATACATGAACATACATCAAATTAGCTGGAGGGAAGTTCTTGGTTATTGACACACCCAAAAAAAACAACGTGACGGACATGTGCGCTATATAAGAAGCCACCATTATTATTATTATTATTATTATTATTAATAATAAAACAATTGATTTGTTTCTATAGTGGGGGCTATCATAATACTTCCCAACCACTACACCACCACCTGCACTGTCATCACCAGGCACGTATCCACGGGGGGGGGGGGGGGCACGTGCCCCTCTCCAGGGCGTCGATCAAGTACATGTATGTGCCCCCAAAAACATCTAACTCTGACTACGGCCCTGCCGCCCTGGTCATCACAACCACTATATCACCGTCAACACACCACCACCACTGTCACCACCACCACTTCTGTCACCACTACCACTACACCACCACCACTAAGAAGATTAACACCAATCACGAACACAAAAGCCAACCATCATCATCACGAGCATCAAGATTTCGCAAAAGATCCAAACAAACAAACAAACCAATGATATCATATAAGACGAAAAATGTATGAATTACAAAACTAATTCATTTCGTATAGTAAAATACCAGGATGAAAATGCCAGACCACAATCATCATTATCACTAAAAAGCCACCACCACCACCACCACCACCACCACCACCACCACCACCACCACCACCACCACCACCACTACCAAAACCATAATTAGAACCACGACTACCAACAACAACACCAACATGCGATCATCACCTCCCGCATATCCAGCATCATCATTTCGCGAAAAAGAATGACACAATAGTTGCCTCTTTCATTCAAACTGTATAGCCTCTCGGCATCCACAACAGCACATGTCATATGAATATCGTTTTGTCCCTTTAATTGAATTTGTTTGTTTCTACTTGATTGAAAATAACCAATTTAGCCTGGCATTGATCATCATTGTATTCATAGCTTTGTTGTTCACCCCTTCCCCCCCCCCCCCCCGATTATCTCTCTCTCTCTCTCTCTCTCTCGCTCTCATGGTGCTGTTTACATTCGCTTGAGCACTCGAGACAGCGTATTGATTGAGCAGTGGTATTCTGTGAGGCGAGCACTAAATCAAGTAATATTTTTATCTTTACCACTCTCCTTCTTAATTATGTGCAAATAACGTTTGAAAACCTAAACAGTGAAGCAATCAATGATCCATGACATCTTGTTGGTGTTTCAGACCAACCTGCATAATATTATAACATATTTTCGCTGATAGATCGATCTCTAATCCTACTCAAGTGTTCAATGGTAATGACGTTGCTATGACAACCAGTATAAACATTGCTGGATGCTGCGCTGCATCAATGTTCTATCGATCATCAGAGTCTACACATTGACGGGACGCTGCACAGTGGGCCAGGGAGGAACCAAAGTGCGCCAAAACTCATGTTTGGGAATTTGTTTTTTATAAATCCAGAGGAAATGTTTGGATTTCCAGGGATTTTCGCTTAAATTGTATTACCAACATTTTTTCTAATGTCTAAGCTTTAAGTTGATACCAGATTTGGCTGCCCGATTCTGCCCGTTATTATGTTAGAGCCGTTTTCCTTGCAACATTGCCCCGAAAATGTGTTTATTTTGGTCCGCGGTGTCAGAACAAGTGTTACGCGCCCCCTCGCGCCGTGATTTATGACCATGAATCCTTCATAATTCACCCGCGGACCCCAAAAACCCACATTTTTCGGGGCAATGTGGCAAGGAAAATCGGCTCTAACATAACAACGGGCAAGATCGGGCAGCCAAATTTGGTATCAACTTGAAGCTTAGACATCAGATAAAATGGTGGTATTAAAATTTAAGCGGTACACCGCGGAGATCTAAACATTTCTTCTGGATTTATAAAAAACATGGACAATTAGTCCATTTTCAGTGAATTACCTTATAATATATCATGAAAATTGGGTTTCTATTAATTTTAACCCATTCATTCAACGAAATGAACTATCAGGAATATGTGAGAGCAATTTCATATCAATAACTTAAAAACTTCATGTTGAATTGAAAGATTTTTAAAAAAAGTAACTTTTGCAATAAAACTGTGAATATGTAGGATTTTGCTGTTTGAAGTAGTAAATTTATACCCTTAATGTGCATACCGGAATTAAATATTTCACTGAGGTACTCCTCTATGTATTACCTTTCAACTGGGCAAGAAAAAAAATGAAACAAATAAATCACCCAAATTTAGTTTTGGCGCACTTTGGTTCCTCCCTGGCCCACTGTGCGCTGGTATCAGGAGAAAAGGGTGTGGCGGAGGCGGGGGTCTTACGATTAACTGGAACATAAAATTTGAATAAAAACGGCCAGTACTTTTTTGGGGGAGGGGGGGGGGGCATTTGGAAGGGAAGGGGGAAGTGCCCCCAAGCCCCATATAATTCTGCAGCTGCTTCCAATAAATAAGTCCATATCGAAAAATTTACATCCCTAAGGACTTTATTAATAAACAGAGATGCTTTTTAATTAATAGGATAGGTCGGTCTTAGGGAGACAGAAAATGTCGTACTGAAATGGATCGAGTCATGTGTTATTACATGTTTCGATATAAAGCTAATACGTGTACTTGATTAATGTTTCTATTCCAAGGCCGCGTACAATGGACTATAATTGACTCCATGGAATACTTCCGATGTATATGATTACGAATATCGGAATATTGTTTATGAATTAATTCCTGTATTATCAAGGCGTGTAATGGTTGGTTGAAACGTTATTTGTGCATAAAATGACGGATGAAGAATGGGAAAATAAAGAGCCTTTGCCACGAGGAGGGGGGGGGGGGGGGGGTACGAATGTGTGTCGTCTGTAATGCTCCCTTTGTCATGTTTGCTCTACAAAAGAAATTATTGATACCCTCATTAAACTTCCCACAAAATGTCATTAGCGCAAGCCTGTCTCTTATACATAAATTTAACCTAAAGAAAAAGAAATTCTTTCTTTAAAAAAATATTAAAATAAATATATGTTTAGTTATCAAGATGAATAGAAATCCCATTTTAAGCTTATATTTGTGTGTCGCCTATTCAGCTTCATTTGCTCTTCAAAAGTAGGGTGGGGTGGATGGGATAGTTTGGACAGTTTTGGCTCTACATATGCTACACAAACAAGCTTCCTGTGCCACATCATGGGATAGATATACCAAAGGCGTCAACCGTTTCCAGTATAAGATGAATATATACCGGTGTGAAAGGGTTGTCATGGGGCTAATCAAGGCCAAGAATGAGTAATTTTACAAAGTCATTGGCCCGAATTCACAAAGCAAGGTTTGAGCTCAAACCTCCTTTTGTTTCGTCAAACCTCCTTTTGTTCTTACAAACCAGGTTTGTAAAAAACGCGTAAAACGCGTCATACGACGTACGAAAACCAAGGTTTGTCGACAAATGGGTTCAAATGTTATAGAAACCTGTACCATTTCGGAGCGGAAGTTTGGTGCCTACTCATATAAGTCTCTTTGAAATGCCTTATTAGAATAATATATAGATAAGAAAAGCATGCTAAAATATAATTATGCTTGGTTAGGTATTCTTTGGCAAAATCAAATATTGACAATCTATCAATAGTCCATATCAACCTGCACACCATGTATTTATCTAATCTTAATATGTACATTGCAATAACGCTCCGTGATGAAATAGGGGCATTATTATTTGAACACATGTCGTCGGAGAAATAAAGGTGGGTTTTTGTTTATACTGGTTGCCATGGCACACAATGATCCGCGCTGAGAAAGAAATGATCTTTGTTTATCGACATGTCTGGCAGCATTCTTAATTGATCGATCTTTAGTTGTTCAGGGAGACTGATATGGTCCAAGTTATTAATTTGTCTTCCTTCCATCAGTCATGCAAGATGTCATGGTCATGATCAGACTCACGTTTTAAAGAGAAAGTAGAACCTTGAGGACGATTTTATCAAAATATATATACCATGAATACTTGAAATGAATATGACATATAATTTTGTACATAGGTAAGATCATGATAATTATAAGTAGCAGCCTTGATAAGTATCGGATGTACATTATCTAATAATATTTAGAGAAGAGAAATATGCGTCTGAAGTTAGAAGGTCAAGCAAAACTGAATAAACTTTTGTGAGTTTTAATAAAAGAATACAAAAACCTAACTTGCAAACTGTTTCCTCAGTCTTTCGGCAAATCCACACAGAAATGGTGGCGTGAAAAATACCGTGAAAATCAATACTAATGGCATTGTATACTGTAAATATTTTAGTAGAATACCTTGTTCCACACATCACTTGGAACATATTTTTTTTCACATTAATTATATTATGAGTTGTAGCTGCCTCTTAAAAAAATTAGGGCCTATATATATAATAATATATATAATACCACAGAATGCAACAAGAGGATAAGTCAAAGGCTCTGATAGATTGATAAATGGGCAAATTATACACCAACCATCCAATTAGGCACACAGTAAAAAGAGCCAACAGGACCTCCACACTCACCCGCACTGCCGCACACCCATCCACACATTCCATATGAAGATGATGAACGTACATTGTCTTCTGTCATTCTCATCAACATAGAAATACAATAGACATATCGCATCAATGCTTTTCCAGATCCACATTTACAACCATATACATATAAAGTATTTTTCCAGGATATTAAAATATCTATTTTCTCCATTTATCTCTAGAGTTCTAATCGTGTGCGTGTATATGTGTGTTTAGGTGTGTATGTGCCTGTATACATTATGTGCATCTCCAGTTCCTCTCCCTCTATCCTTTCTTTACTTAAATTCTTAACTCATCCCCATCCAAGTATAGCTTAGAAAAGCTGCTTCAGGTATTACCTCATCAAGGTTCAATTACACTTTTTCACTTTGTTAAACCCATTCTTTCCATCTTCTCTCTCTCTCTCTCTATGATAGACCCACCCTGATCGGATGCGGGGTGCTACCGGTAGGAAGCAGAATGCTATGATGCACCAGCAGCTCAAGTCCTTTGAGACTATGTTACGTACCTTCCTAGAGGGACATGAGACGGGATCTCTTTATCGGGCCCTGGCCAGAGTTATTCCTCGTAAGTTACTTAGCTAGGTTCATTTGTTGGCATGAGCCTTGGAATGATCTCGATTTTAATCAAACTGCTTAAAAAGTTTGAATACAAAACACTATTCTAAGCCTATATCTTGATCAAGTCATTGAATCGAAATATATTAACATTATCAGAAGGAAAATGTCCTAGATAAGAGGTGAATATCACAGGTAAAATGGACGAAAATAAAAATGTCTGGGGAAAAACAGTTAAAGGTAAAATGTCATATAAGTATTGTGATAGTGTTACTCAATGAATTGCATTATTGTTATTTCATTTTTCACGTAGATAATCGTCACGTGTATTCCCTCGATGGCTTGAATGACTATGCGAATCAGTGGTACAGAGACCGTGAAGAGATTCATGTTGACGACCATTCAATCATCAAGCGCATTGAGGAGTTCAATCAGGAGATCCTATACCTGAAGCAGATGAAGACGATATTTGATGACCGTATCTATTCAGTACTCTTCGAGTTCTACTACGAGATGGTCATGGAGGAGATTCCGCAGGCTACCAAGTTATTGGAGAGAGGTCGTAGAGCTAGCAATGACGTCAGGGGTTCGAATCTCCTTGTCATGTCGAACATCGAAGGGTACGCCGCACTTCATGAGCCGATGCCAGTGAAGAAGTTGTGTGATATCTCCAAAGATTGTGAGAAGCTGTTTTCGATTATCCATCAACTCCAACATATCGATATCCGCTGGGGTAGTCTTCTGAAGTCTGAAGAAGTGGATGTTGAGTTGTTCGATCCTGATTCCATTCATGATGTGAAGCTGTATCCAAACTACCTTAGATTCGAAGCGGTACTACGTCTCATACCAGACGTCATGCGTAAGATACAGAGTGCCATCAAGTTGACAAAGAGCTGGTGGTACCAAGCTGAAAGGATACGAAGACGTCTTCGAGGACAAAAGATCCGTGATGACATTGCTTCAGATCAACCTTCTGAAAATGATCCCAATCAGATAGCTGAATCTCTAGAAGAGAATGAGCCTATGACAGAGCAAATACCTACGAAGGGCCACTCAACCACACCTTACAGATCGTCCTCTGATCATAAAACCGAAGCCGTTCGGGATATCGATGAATACACCAACTACCACAGTCCTTCCGTTGACTACAGAATAGAAGACAGACAGCACATTGATAATGATGAAGAAGGTAGTGGTAGACCCATTGAAAGAAATCCTTATACGGAAGAAGACAAGCCTTCGCAGTCAAGAATAAACCCAGAGCAAGAGATGATAACTCCCCGCCAGACGTACCCCGCCGTGATTGAGACAGTTGAAAATCGTCTCAAGGAGCTCTCCACCTCTATTGCTCTTACACAAATGGACTTGGCTTCAGAGACCAACGAACTTGAGTTCTTCAATAGGCGACAACAACGAATTCGAAAACTGAAATCAAACCTGAAGCGTGCAATCAATGCGATGGAAGCGATGCATGACGAACTCAAAAGCTACAGACGCGTAAAAGAACAACTTATTCTACAGTTAGAAGAGGTCGAGGACTTGTCAGAGAGACGGCATATTTCCGGGAAACTAAAGACTTTGGACGAGAAAGTGAAGGATATTCAAGAGCTTTCCCAGGTTATCGAATATCGACATAAACTAATGACCAGTGACTTGAAACTTGAACTGGACCTCAGAGAGACGTTCACCAGGTATGTTTTATTTACTTTTAATTCAACTTTTGTTTGAATTAGGTACCATGTTTATTCATCTTATTTCGAAGTATGCCTAAGCTGTGCCTTAAAGCCCGTCTGTATTAGTTTGGCCAGGGGGGATTAGAACTCCCTGCAAGGTCACTGACAAGGGGTTATCTCATCAAATCAGCTCTCAATTAACATAAAAAAGGGGATCATGGGGGACCAACAGGCACCGATTAGGCATTGTTTGCAGTATAGAGGGCGCAAGTAGCTATAAAAAGTGCAGTGGGGCTTTAAAAGTAGGGAAATAATCATACACCACAGCAGATATGTCGTCATTATACCAGAATGAATGGCTAATACTCCTGTGTAGGTCAACAACTTTATTGCGTATAAGGAACACAATTCTTTCCTAAGATTTCTAAAGACCAAAATAATAAGAAAACAAGCAATTAGATGTTCATTCATTTTTTAAGGGTAGGAAGGCCTTTTGGTCAAAGCAATTTCTTTTTCTTTTTTCTTCACGGGCATCCTGGGGAACTGAGGTAGAACATTCGCTCTTAATTCATGTTACATGTACATGAAATTATCGATTATATTTCAATTATGTTTTATGCTATAAACTTTGTACTTGTGATTGAGTGATTGCCAAATAAATAATAAGTCCTCTAAATATTCAATTCATACGTCTTGATATTTTGCCTGTGATTAGTGTCTTAACATCAAACAATTATTTTATCTCTTCATCTTCATCTGTTTTAACTATTTAACATTGGTTGCCAACAAGGCATATAATTGCATTTAAGATACTTTGGCTTCTTAATAAAGCTTTGAATGGTCAAGCCCCAAAATATTTTGTTTGAATTATTATCATTGAAATCACATCCATATACACATAACTTACGAAGTTCACAGGACACAATAAGTCTCATATGTTGCTGTATTCAAAGTTTTGTTGAAGAAGCAATGTGTCCATAAAGTAGCACTGTTAGGACTTTTGTTTTCATCACAGCTCAGCTGCATGCGCTATGTAAATTGATCTAATTATTATTATTATTATTATCTCTTGCCTATGAAGATACCAGAACGAGGTTGAAGGGCGAGTTGATCTATTGAAGTCTTCAGTTCAGGAAGAGGAGGAGAAAAGAGTCCAACTAGAACATGAGCTGATGTTACTTCGTCCGCAGGCTGTATTAGACGGGCAAGATCACGAGTGCTTACAGGATAACAGGACGTCAAACAAGGCTCGCCAAAATGTCTACCAGATGAACAAGAGTCGGTCTGTACCAAGAGCATCAAAGAATGGGATGAAAAGTGTTCCCTGGTTCGGTAATAGCAGTCAATCTTTGGATGAATCTAACCGAACAGATGACGATCTAGACAACATAAACAGAGAGTCTTATTCCCCTGATCTACTGCTTGGTCAGCTACGATCTGATAATTCCAGTTGGGATCAGCAGAGGATTCTGGATGATAGGAAACATCTCAACCGGACTACAAGTAGCCCTGATATCTTGAGCCACATGAGACGTACTTCTCTTGATAGTGGAGTCAATGGAAGCCGGATTATGAACCGTGATAATATGGTCAGACCAGGAAAGGGTAAAAAGAACCCAAGGCTTTCACATCAGATGCCTCAGACCAGTGGAGATACCTCTGACCATGACAGCGCCAAAGACATCCAAGATAGATCCTCAACCAAACAAACTCAGAGGACTTCTGTTCCTGAAATAAAGTATGTCCCTCCAAGTTCTAAAGGAAAGAAAAAGCATCGCAAACCAAAAGCTCCAGAGAGAATATTATCTGATGAGAATGAAGATGTTAATGATTCATTTGGATACGGTGGATACAACAGCAGACATGGGGGTCCTTACCAAGACACAAATCACTCTGACCATAATGACAGAGGTACGGACGAAGGAAGAAACAGGCAAAGGAGACCTTCTTCACCCACTAAACGCAGTAATCTACCCACTAGAAACCTGAAAAGACTGCCTCGCGGATCACTCGGGTTGAACAACAAAGCTGCCCCAGTTCAGAAACAGCCTCCTCTACCACAACTACGTGAGGAAGATGACCCATCTCCAGCTCCAAGGAAAGATCGAACCCCAAGAATGTATGACCCCAAGAGAGGGAGCTTAGATAGTGTCATCAACTCACCACTACCGCTATACTCATACATGCCTCTTAGTGTTGATCAAAGTGGGAAGAGAGAGCTTGGTGGTGACGGTGGATCTAGGAAGGTGAAGAATGCACATCGACGGAAACCAAGGATCAAGTCAGATCAACCAGACATCTTGTCACCATTGTACAAACCAAACCAGACACAAAGAAGAAAGAACCCTCCAGTTAGCCATATACCAGTCAAAACCACATACTGAGATCATCTAAGGCATGTTAAATAAGAGTAAGCGCGATAGCCCAGTTGGTAGAGCAGTGGTCTCGTAATCTGGCGGCCCGGGTTTGAAACCTAGGCGATGCGCTAGTGCCCTTTGGTAAGGCATGAATCCTCATTACCAGGTCACTCGGAGAGGACCTAAAGCAGTCGGTCCTCTGGTTCTTACTAACAAGCATTTATGCTTTCTTAGCAGTCAGGTAAAATAACCACCACTAACTAAATAGATGCTGAAATGTAACATAAATGTATTATTGGCCCACAAGCCATGGAGATGTATTTATTCTTTTGAAATAAGAACAAGTAACGGCTTGGTTGGACCTTTTAAACTTAGCTTACCGGTATACAAATAAACATAAATGCATTGCAAAAGCAAGAAACTAGAAGCATACGTTGTTTGAATGTATCTTCTCAAACAGAATGTGAGATACGATAGAAATATATACTATGTGTTTTTACAACATTTCATCATTGTGTTTTTTCAAGAAATGATGAAAAGCTATTTAATCCAACCGCTAAGAATAATAGCTATCAAGTATGGATGGAATTAATCTTTCAAACAAGAATTTCCCTTCGCATTCAAGTCTTATTTAAAATCTCTTTTTAAATAATAGATGTTGCTTCATAAGGCAATTCTTTAGGAAGCAGCTTTTTTTCTAGAATTATGCAGAATCCTTTAGCCTAATATTCTTAAATGGTATCCATAAGTGTAAAGCACTATCTATCTTACAGTTCAGGACACATACCGAAAAGCTATTATGTCTTTGGCTTTAGTTGACCTGCCATATACATGTAGGCACCGAAAGCAATCAGACACGTGGGTTGAGAGAGGCTAATGTAAATTAATGTCTTGCTAAAGGAAGATACATATGTGAGTATTCAGTGAGCTCTATGTTATAAGATTCAGAAATGTAAGGTGTATCACACTTAGCGTCATAATAAACGGCCATCGTTTTGCCCCTGTATATCTGAACAAAGCTTCACTCCTCAATGAACACTATGTACAGAGTTGGCATACCCATGACTGATGGCTTGGGAATAAAATAAAATGTATCTTACTTCAGCTGCGAGTATAATGGGACAAGGGTGTACAGCAGTGTCATGTTTCAAATTATATACCTTTTTTTTTTAATATTGAGAGAAGGCCACTGTGACATATTCAAATATCAATAATCTTTTTTGTATATAGAATCTGTTCATTGCAAGTGCATCTTACAACATAAATGTTGTCCTATTATGTAAGTAGACTGTTCTCGTTATGTATCTTTACTACTACATGTAACTTTCCTCTCTTTTTTGTAATTCTGTAATGAATATTTGAGTTGTAAACTATAAGTAAATGACTATTTCTTACAAAATGGTATGAATAAAATATAAGATTAGATATTGTCACTTTTCCTTGTTATAATTGAGATTTTTAAAAAATTCACTAACATCTGAAATCATTAGGTGCGTGGTAGATTGTGTATCAACATCTAACAATGAGAATTTCCAATATGAAAACTGAAGAGAACTGCAAGGAATTAAGAGCATGTCTTTGTAAACAAAGTCTCTCTCTCTCTCTCTCACTCTCTAAGTGTCATATCGATTGACTTGGCGATTATGCTGTTCCACAATCCTCGGTTCCTAGCCTTCTCTATTAGCACCATTCAACCCTCGGTTCCTAGCCTTCTCTATTAGCACCATTCAACCCTCGGCTCCTAGCCTTCTCTATTAGCACCATTCAACCCTCGGCTCCTAGCCTTCTCTATTAGTACCATTCAACCCTCGGTTCCTAGCCTTCTCTATTAGCACCATTCAACCCTCGGCTCCTAGCCTTCTCTATTAGCACCATTCAACCCTCGGCTCCTAGCCTTCTCTATTAGCACCATTCAACCCTCGGCTCCTAGCCTTCTCTATTAGCACCATTCAACCCTCGGCTCCTAGCCTTCTCTATTAGCACCATTCAACCCTCGGCTCCTAGCCTTCTGTATTAGCACCACTCCCAGTTCTTTCACTCCTCTCTTTTCCAACAATTTCTGCAGACTGTCCATCCACAGTATCCTCCTTCTTCCCCTACTCCTTCTTTCCACAATTTTCCCTGTCAAAGCGAGATTCTCTAGGCCTCCTTTGCATGCAACGTGACCCATGAACTTCAACTGCCTAATCAACATCTCATGTATAATTTTCCTTTGCACTCCAGCTTGTCTAAGAACTTCCTCATTAATAACTTTGTCTACAATTGAATATAAGGACCTATTTCTAAAAACCGCAACAGAGGCATCTTATAATCATATACATGTGTATACACTTCTAACTTTAAAGGTACTTCTTAGTGTGTTTATATAATAAAGAGTCTTGGCAGGGATTATTGAAATAAAAAGAGAATCACGTTACGTATTTGGATCATTTTATGTCTTTTCTTTCCTGCACTTTTCATAATAAATTCACAGATTTTCACCATAAGTGAATGCCATTTAAAACACATCAACTAGCATCTTTACAGATTCATTGGAGTATTAAACACAAACAGAATAAGAAAAGAGTCTCTCTTTCACATTTCAAATCAAAATATATTTCAAGTTTTGCTCTTTTATCCTCGATACAAAGTACCTATAACAGTGTGTAAAATATTTTCCATTTCAAATTCATTCATAGAGAACCTCTCCTCTATATACAAATAAGAAGGGTGGTTATAATTTTGACACTATATCACTCAATCAAATATATTTAGTGACAAAATTGATTGATTTTTCCCCAATATATTATAAAACATAATTTGGCCAGAATAAAAATTTCCACAACACTCTAATTAATTGAAAGATGGCACGTTCAACTCTATCCTGTAATATGAGTATATGTAACATAGTCCTGTAATTCTTTAAGCAGGTTTCTGAATTTGTTCTTTAAAATTTGCCAATTGTGGGGGATCCCAATGAAAGATTTACAAAAAATTCTTAACTTTTCCTGTAATAACATTCTTCAAAAGCTTAAAATATTGCTGTGCATCAAAATTAAATTGCTGAGGGAAATCTACTTCCATCAAATTTATTCTGGAACAATTTTCAGCTTTTAATGAGGGGAAAATCTAAAAACATGGGGTCTAGGGTATGCCATAGAATACAGTAAAATCAATGTTCAAAGCAATTATCATAAAATCTTTTAGACTTCTGCTAAACAGGTTTTCACCTATCTGTGTCAATTTAAAACTAGATGGAACTTCGACTGCGCGCAGTCGAAAATGATGCCTCCGTCATAGAGCAAGTTTACAAACCAAAACAGAAGAAATTTTTCAAATTCAAGTTTCATTGTAATCCATTAACAGGTTCTCAGAATATCGTGATTACAAGCAATTTCTCATATACATATATGACCCTTTGATGTTTGACCTCATGACCCTAAAATCTACTCAGTTCATTGGCTCTGCAAGATGTCCTGAGTTAAATAGTAATCCATCTGTCAGTTCTAATGAGAATGCGTTCACAAGCTAATTTTGCATACATAATGAGCCCATGACATTTGACCTTTGACCTCATGACCCAAGAATCTACTCAATTCATTGACTCTGCAAGATACATATATGATCTAAGTTTGGCAGGAATCCATCAATCTGTTCTAATGAAAATGCGATCACAAGCTATTTTGCATACATAATGAGCCGCATGACCTTTGACCTTGACCTCATGACCCCAAAATCTAATCAGTTCATCGGCTCTGCAAGTAACATACATGACCTAAGTTTGGCAGGAATCCATCAATCGGTTCTTGAGATAACACGATCACGAGCTGTTTTTGCATACATAATGAGCCCCGTGACCTTTGACCTCGTGACCCCAAAGTCTAATCAGTTCATCGGCTCTGCAAGATACATACATGATCAAAGTTTGGCAGGAATCCATAATCGGTTCTTGAGATAACGCGATCACGAACTGTTTTTGCATATATAATGAGCCCTGTGACCTTTGACCTCGTGACCCAAAAATCTACTCAGTTCATTGACTCTGCAAGATACATATATGATCTAAGTTTGGCAGGAATCCATCAATCTGTTCTAATGAAAATGCGATCACAAGCTATTTTGCATATATAATGAGCCCTGTGACCTTTGACCTCGTGACCCCAAAATCTAATCAGTTCATCGGCTCTGCAAGATACATACATGACCAAAGTTTGGCAGGAATCCATCAATCGGTTCTTGAGATAACGCGATCACGAGCTGTTTTTGCATATATAATGAGCCCTGTGACCTTTGACCTTTGACCTCGTGACCCCAAAATCTAATCAGTTCATCGGCTCTGCAAGATACATACATGATCAAAGTTTGGCAGGAATCCATCAATCGGTTCTTCAGATAACGCGATCACGAGAACGGGACGTACGGACGTACGGACGGACGGACAACCCGAAAACATAATGCCTCCGGCTACTTCGTAACGGAGGCATAAAAAGAGATTGTCAATTCTAACTGGCTTAAATAGGATACAAGGAAACCTACATTCTCATCAATATCTCTCGGCACACAGAAAATATATTTCTGAAAATAAGCCTTCCCTTGAATTATGAAGCTGATGGGAGGATAGGTAGCTTAGCCAAATGAAGTGGCACAAAAGATGCATCCAGCAAACAAAATGCATAATACACAGTTATAATATTAGTTACATAGAGTTAGAACCAACACTTTAGGTTATTGAGCTGGTAAATACATATACTATCTCAACTAGGCTTTATGTTACCCAGTCTTTCATTAGGAAAAAGTATTTAAAAAAAACCACTTATTATTAACAACCATCAACTATTATGCCTTTTGAGTTTTGGATGCGTCTTTTTATGCCACTACATTCACTATGTTACCTTGTAAGATCTTCATTTCAATCCTCATAAAGGATGTTTCTGGGGCTACATGGTGACTTGTGAGACACTCTCATCCTTGCTGATGACATTGTAAAATACTTTTGACAATCCCCTCATGACTTTTAAAAGCATTGATGAATGTTCAGGTCTGAATCCTCAAGGGCTAGGGTGGTCTAAAGGACATACTCTAGTCCTTACTGATCACATTGTCAAATACTTTGAGAACTTCCTCATGGTTTTCAAAGGCATCGATGAGTGTTGCTACTGCAGTGAGATCTGAATCATCTAAGGCTATGGTGGTTTGAGGGACGTACTCTAGGCCAGATGATTGGATTGGTAGAGAGCGTTCAGCAAGACCATCTCTGACTGAGCGAAGGTCCGAAGGATCACAGATGAACTAGATGAAAACAAGATGAAGAACAGGTATGTTTAATGATTAAAGGCTTGTTTAACGTTGTTTCAAGTTTTACAAATCTAAGATGCATGGCCCTTTGTGTTATCAGTGTCGGTGATATGGTGTAATATTGAAGCCCTACAAATTTGCACTTTAAAATGATCATGAAGTGCTTCAAAAAAGTAAGAATCTTTGAGTGACTGGTTTTCCCCTAATAAACGGTAGTTTTGCCAACGGTTTTGATATTTTGAATTTCAATTATAAATTTCTTGATAATCAAACATGCGATTGGCTTGTAAAAGTCATGGGGTTCCTGACTGACCTAAAGGTTTATGATTATGATTGCAGCATGAGCTAAATCCAGGATTTTGCTTAGAATCAGAGGCAAAGTTACCCAATACCTTTAATACTTATTGGTGCACGTATTATGCAAATTAAATTTCATCATTTCATAAATCTGTTTCCCAAAAAGTAAAACACTTGATACAGAAGATATACAAACAAAATTCCCTTTATTCTTTCTAATGATTTTTTTTTAAATTCACATGTTCAGCATTAAATGAGTAAGGGAAGGGAGGCAAGAAAATGCACTCCCAATCCCCACAAAATATATCATTTTAAACATAACTGTATTTAGATTACTGTTCTCACCATGAATACACTCTGACCATCTTCATCTGTTTCATCTGAGACTTCTTCTGCTCCAGCGTCTATCGCTACCTCTTCTGCTTCATCAAGACTCATTGACCCCTCATCTTCAGGGTCACAAGGAACCCGTAGAACACCCTTCTTCTCAAAGGCAAACATAGCTGTGCCCTGCTCACCAAAGACTCCCCTGTGGAAGGACAGGATTATGGTTAGGGTGAGATTCATAGAGCTGTGGTCTTCAGGTTCACATGGAACCAGTAGAACACCCTTCTTCTCAAAGGCAAACATAGCTGTACCCTGCTCACCAAAGACTCCCCTGTGGAAGGACAGGATTAGGGTTGGGTTAGGTTCATATCAATATTAAGATTCACAGAGCTGTGGTTTTCAGCTTCACATGGAACCCGTAGGACACCCTTCTTCTCAAAGGCAAACATAGCTGTACCCTGCTCACCAAAGACACCCCTGTGGAAGGACAGGATTAGGGTTAGGGTTAGGTTCATATCAATATTAAGATTCACCGAGCCATAGTTTCTAGGATCACAAACAACCTGTACAACACCTTAAAGGCAAACATGGCTGTGCCCTGCTCACCAAAGACACCCCTGTGGAAGAACAGGATTAGGGTTAGGGTGAGGTTCATATCAATATCAAGATTCACAGAGCTGTGGTCTTCAGGTTCACAAACAACCTGTACAACACCTTTCTTCTCCAGGCAATCATGACTGTATACTGCTGAAGTAAAATAATCATAAACATTCTTTTTAAAGAAAGATTCATCTCACAGTAAATGACATTCTTGTCAGCTGTATTATAACATCAGTTTTGGAGAATACCCATATAAATATGTATTAGAAATATTATTCTTTATGGAAGATTGCTCTAGGATACAAAAGCTAATAAAAACTGACTGTCTCTCTCTCTCTCTCTCTCTCTCTTACTCACCCATTTTTGCTGGTAAGTTGTGTTAGCTCTTGTCTTACTCTCCTCGAATTGTCTGTTAACACTGTAACAAGAAGTGATGAATTGGCTGGTCCTCTAACCTCAAATGTAAGTTGTGAGTCTCCTTGTTTACTCTATAATGTAGAAAATGGAATTTTAAAAAAAATGTACACATATACACATTGCAGAAAAAAAAATTTTTTTTTTTTTTTTTTCCTCAATATTCAAACTTAACAAATTAGGGAGGTGTTGATTCAAGGCTAGAGGCATATATGTTACGGTACTTTATGGGCGACTCAGAAAAAAATAAAGAAAAAATAACCTAATATCAAATGCATAGAGGCGTGAGTGTCTGTATTCTCAAAAAAAAGACTTCTTAGAATAGAGGCTTTAGGGTTAATCCTTAATCACATAATAAATAAATAGATCTGACTCATCAAGGGACCAATTACTGTGAATTGGATACTAGCTCAGTCAGTAAGGAAAAACAACATTTTGTGTTGTATTTATAGTTAAAGGTGCACACAACATATATGTTATGCCTCCTATGTCTCACACTTCTTGTTCTAGTTGTTTGACAAATTCATTGGAATGGATTAAAATCTTGTAGATTCATAAAAGGACAAACTGGTCTACTTACAGTGCTAGCTTTCTTGATCATACTGTCTATGGTAGCTTTAGGCATGGATTTGGACTTGGCTAGAGAGATCAACGCGGCTAGAGACGAGTTTGTTTCCGGATTAGGACCTCGTTCTGTGCTCAAGCAAGGGAAATGAAAATATGTCACAAATTGGACAGGATTAGTTTACACAGTTCAAACCACTACCCTAAAATCAAATAAACAAACAGCTTTCTGAACTCTGACATTATAATTCCTTTCATTGCCTTTATCTGATTAGGTAACAATACTTTCAATTTGTTGAAATATTAACATCTAGGGTTTTGGAGTTTTGGAGTGAAATCATAGTCAACTAATGTCAGAATTTGGAGCACGAAACACTTCCCATGAGTAGAAATGTTGTTAGGTTGAAGTGGCCATTGTGCAGTACTCTCATTACTACTCTGCATTAGAATAAATTCTGTCCAAATAACTGATACTATGGATTGTCTAGATATGGATTATAAAGTAAACAAAGTATAAAATAAAGTGTTTTTTGTGTATGGTATTTTCTTTTGTTTTTCTTTTTTTAATGAACATATTTCTTTGAAAATTTGAAATTGAATACATGTATATTTCAGTCTCTTTCATAACATTTAAGAACACAAACACTAATGATGCACTTCACATGATCTGACAGTACGATGCACCCCCCCCCCCCTCCACTAATATAAAAGTGTTCACCCTGAAGCAGGGTGATTTACAAACCTTTAACTGCTAACTTGAGTTGGATTCCAATCCTTGTAAAAGCTTTGCTCTTCTCAAGATCTTTTGGTCCCTTGATGTATTTGACCTTTGACCATTTATTATGGCCAGCATAGAGGGCGCTGCCACATGTTTGCAGACTTCTTTGTGATTGACCTCCAGGGTAGCAGTCCCTTCCGTGTGAGTGGTGCTTAGATGTGCGAGACACATAATTGCAAAATGGGCTTTGTCTAGACTGGTACGATGATAAGACTTCTCGGGAGGATGGAGACAATGATGATGGCGACGTTGACATGGATGATGATTGCACTATTATATTAGATGTCCCTGTACAGGATACTTGTCTTTTACACTGTTGCCATGACAATGTAGATACAGTTCTCCAGTTTTCTATTCTCAAGAAATGAGCAGCTCTAAAGACAGGAATCATGCCTGCTGTCCTCCCGTCTCTTAGCAACCGTTGAATTAGGAATGCCATCATAGGGATGACTATAGTTGTTTATCTGTTGAAATTAATAAGAAAGCATCCAAATCAACTGTAACATAGACCCTACACCTTAATTTAGAATTCTAAGCACTAATAATTAAAGTATTCAAAGAACAATATTCAAAGAACAATTAATGGCCATTATTTTGATGAAATGAACACCCCTGACTGCAGTGATCACAAAATGAACAATGGACAGGTGATCAATCAGTAACACTAACTGTGCTTACACTACAATAGTAAAAGTCACACAGTGTCAGTGGTTTCCCATCTCAAACTAAAGTTCAAACTCATCATGCCTACTTTTGCACACCAGTAGATCTAATTGTAATTTGTATTTCTAACAAAGCACTTTCCAGAAAACATCATTACAATACATGTGTTTCAATGGGAGGTCTGTGAACTTTTACTTATTACGGTTTTGTGAAACACTACCCTGGTCAATAATAACCAAATCATCCCCATCCCCTCCCCCCCCCCCCCCCCCCCCCCCCCCCCCAACCTCTGCGGCTCTCAGCATGTCCGCCTTCTCCTACAAATTAACGACAAACTTCACTTCAGTCCCATCTATAAATAATTTTGTTACCATATTCGATCTATGAGTAACTTACAACTTATCTTGTCATAATTAACAGCTCTGGCTGCAAAACAGACATTCGCACAATTACATACAATAATGAAAAATTAAATTGATAATCACCAAACACGAAATTCTGCAGTTTTTGTGTTTAAAAGTAATCTCTCGATTCTACTTCTTGGCCCCGTCCGACGTCCGGAGCTGGAGCTGTCTTTCTCCTAACGATAGATGGCGGCATGCAAAACATGACCAGTCACACTATCAAATCTGACTCGACGCTGTACAGTCGTAAATCGATTTCAGATAAAATATGATTTGAATAAAATGCACACACACACACACACACACACACACATACACACAAAAAAAAGTACAAATCTTATTTACCTTCTGGACATGATAGGTAAAGGGGTATTAAAACTACGGTAATGCTGAGAACCTGCTGATAATTGTTTATATTTTACAGAAATCGTATACTCTTCTTGATTCTTGTTTATGTATTATTCTTTGTTTTAATCTTCCACCCGTTTCATTTCATTTGTTCACCATTCACCAGTCCATTAAGGATTTGCTGTAGTTGCATAATACATGTCATTAGTTGCAAAATAAAATACATTTTAGGGCAAAATTAGGGACATGTTTTGTGATATGCGATACATAAATAGGTCTATATGGCATATTGTGATAATTTATTATCTTTTCTTTCTCTTTTTTTATAATTTTTTATAGGACAACATAGAGATTGAGTCGGTCTCAACTATGCCTGAGGCTGAGAGTATTCATGTGTATATTCCTAACCAGTGCTATCTCATGGTGGTCTCACCAGAAAGCAAACCGTTTCCTAGATGTGTTTAAAAATTATGAAAATCATAATACATTTTATATAAGGTATTATGTGAGTTGCTGCTATCAAATTTTGATAAAGACCGTCAAAACCATAGATAAATTTGTCATATACTAATCCTGCTTCCAGACAAATTTCGCTACCTCAATGAATATATACCTAGTTGCCGAGTTGAGCTCAGAATACGCCTGGACTAAAGACTAAAGACCCCCCCCCCTCTCTCTCTCTCTCTCTCTCTCCCCCCCCCTTTCATTTAGATAATGCTATCACTGACCTGCGAAGTCGTCTTTTTCAGAAGAGGGGGAAACTAAATCAGCCTGAAAGGTTAGACTATCAAAAGTAAAAGCAACCTTGCCCTTTTAAAACGAGAGAGAGAGAGAGAGAGAGAGAGAGAGAGAGAGAGAGAGAGAGAGACAATCAATAGCAATTTCCAGATCAAAGAATAATAGAACCTTGCCCCCGTGGTTTGCTTCGTAATATGAACAATAATGAAGTCTAATTAGATTATGTTCTTTTTATCGACGAGAAAACCGATAAATAGGGATGATATAATCATTTTATAATGCATGTAAATCTTGAATATAGACTCATAATTAAGATACACAAAAAGGTTGAGAAATCCAGGTCATTGGTGAAGGAATGACTGTAGGAAGGCATGTTATAATCGAAATCCCCACAGCCGTGAATTTAGATTTGTTTGTAAATCCAGCATACATGTCAATATTAATACGATATAAAGATTACGTGATCTCTATGCTTTCTGATGCCATTAACATAACTGACTAGAATCTAGTTGTAAATTTGATGACGATGAACCCGTAAATCTTAGTTTTATATCATGCTGATATATATATACGATCGTATGAATTGATGGTCATGAACTTGTGTAGGCAAATAGAATCTGTTTATGGTATTAGAATTTGTATTTGCATTGACTGTAAATGATATTTTTTATTTTATATACTATTGGTCTATAACTCTATAATTAGTTCATTTTTTAAATCATAGTTACTTAATCTGCTTTATTGAGGATATCGCCTATTTGTTCAAGATTACCTCTGTCTTGGCAACGATAAGGGTTATTAAAATAAATGTCCAATGCTGGTGACATCAGAAGTCAATTTTTTAATTCCCTTTTTGTGGGGTGTATTTTTAAGGGGTATATTTTGCATTAATACAACTCTTCGAGAGCCTTGTATACATAATCGATTGTTCAAGGAGAAGAATTTTTAAAATTGCATTTCCATTTCTTGCAACTCGTAATTTGTCATGTGTATTTTACAACGAATTTATCTTGATACACCAGAAATTACATTTAAGTTATTTCTGATTGTTAAGATACGACTGATTAAAAGCGTACAATGTATTTTACAGAGATGCAATAAGTTTTTATTAAAGTCTTCATGTTACAGGCACAACACTTATTTAAAGGTAGGTAAATAAGAAAACTAGATGCCAGAGATGAATGTATAATTTTGTTGTCTGTAGAAAGCTTTTTTTTTCAACTACGGCTAAGGTGGTATGAAATGTCACGAACTTTTATATTTGCGCATTCTTCATAAATCTCATTCATTTTATATAAACTTGTCACCAGGCCTACAATGTTATAGATAATACCATGATTATTATATGAAAAGGATTACAATTGCCTACAACATACAGGTGGATATAAAAACATGTAGAAGAGAACGGTTGTTATTGTGAATACATTGTGGAATAGCATTGTATATGCCTGTAATTAAGTCCTATCTGTTTCCCATTTTACTTCAACAATAACATGACCATAGACTTAATTGAGAAAGGATTATCTCAGCCCTATAGGCTACCACTTCTAATAAAGCCTCATGTTGTAGAGAGCTCTTCAGTCTCCCTGCCTTCATACACTCACTAGACGCGGATTATTTCATTTACAGCTATGTGGTAACGGAATATCACACACTCATGTCTTATGACACTCTTTTTAAAATAAGGCTTTATGCATAGAATTTGAGATTGTTTGCCTCTGTTTCATTGTCCTTAATTTATCCGGCTCAGTAATATCTGCTTGCAAGTTACCAGAACTTATTCTCTTTTCTCTGAAATGTCTCGTAAAATTGTGATGTGAATGATGCATTATAGAGTAGATTAGATTGACCTATATAATGTCTTCTTTCAGTCATGTTTCGACGTATCGCAACATGAGACCAATTATGTGATTTTGTTGTTAAAACAAATTGATTAATCTTGACGTCAATTGCAGAATACGCAAAGGTCTACAAAGAAACATCATTTAAGCTATTTGCCTAAATATGAGCTTTGTCCTCATCATCTGAATGTCTCATTTTATCAAACATCCAATCATGATAAACAGATATGATATTGAACATGTTAAGTAATACAGGAATTCAAGCGCGTAGCCAGGATTTCATTTTAGGGGGGGGGGGCGGTAGTGAGCACGCGAAGCGTGCGAATCACTTATAGAGCGCGCATAGCGCGTTTTCTAGGGGGATGGGTGCAGAGAGGGGGGGAGTTTCCCCCCTCCCGCGCAAAGCGCAGAAGCTTTGAAAAAAAGGACGATTCGTTGTACCTTTCTCGACTCATAATCCTTGTCTGAATTCAGTCCGCCCCTCCTGCGCATAGCGCGGAAGATTTGACGTATTATTAGAAAAAGAAGACGATTCGTTGTACCTTTCTCGACCCTTAATTCTTATCTGTATTCAGTCCCACTCACGCGCGAAGCGCGGAAGTTTTGACGTTTCATTAATTTATTAGAGAAAGAAGACGATTCGATGTACCGTTCTCGACTCTTAATCCTTATCTGAATTCAGTTTCCTCCCCTCCCGCGCAAAGCGCGGAAACTTTGAAGTTTCATTAAATTATTAGAGGAAGAAGACGACTCGAAGTACCGTTCTCGACTCTTAATCCTTGTCTGAATTCAGTCCCCCCCCCTCCTCCTGCCCGAAGCTTTGACGTATTATTAGACAAAGAAGACGATTTGTATTACCTTTCCCGACCCTCAATCCTTATCTGTATTCAGTCCCCCTCTTTCGAAGCGCGGACGCTTTGAAGTTTCATTAAATTATTAGAGAAAGAAGACGATTTTTTTGTTCCGTTCTCGACTCTTAATCCTTAATTTGAACTCAATTTCCCCCCGTTCCGCGCGAAGCGCGGAAGCTTTGACGTTTCACTAAATTATTAGAGAAAGAGGGCGATTCGTTGTACCGTTCTCGACTCCTTTCCCTTTTTCTTCCTACGTCCTCTTTCTTTTTTTCTTCTTCTATTTCTCTCTCTCTCTTTTTTTTGGCCGGCCTTTTTTTTGGGCGGGGGGGGGGGGGTGGCGACCGCTCCCACCGCCCCCCCCCCTCCCCTGGCTACGCGCCTGTAGGAATTGTAATCCTCGGCATAACTACTAATTCATCACTTTCGAGGAAAATACCTGTTCGGTAACAATCTCATGTCTCAAAACAGACCTGTTAAAGTGGGCGGGTCGTCAGTTTCCATGTGCAGAAGGCCATAATTCGCTGACACCAGACTTGGTATAGGTATACCATTCAGTGGGTATACAAGTCTACTCACATCATACCTGGAGTCCTATCAAGAAATACTCCCAAGTCTCTTGGAGAGCCTTCGGGTGAGGGAATAGCAAAGCAGTTTTGTCATATAGGGTTTGAAACCACACGTATGAGGCCCAATAAACATAATTGCACGCCATGAACTTCAAGATTTAAATGAAAGTGAAATCAAAATGCAGACATGGTAAATATCTTCAAAGATTAAAAAAAACCAATAGAGTATAATTATGCATGAATTTTAAAGAAAATGTTCAAATGTTTGCTAATGTCAATCAAGGCGAACTGCGGCCTAAAATTATGTTTGCTTGCTGGCAAATAACAAGTATAGGCCTATATCTAATGTTTATTTCTTGTTATACAATAAATCAAAATCATATAAGCTTAACATTTTACCACTGATAATAGGTGGATTTTAAGGAGTACCCGTTGCCTTGCCTACCTTAACCCCTTGTTTCCCACAGAGAGGGAGGGAGAGAGGGAGAGAGAGAGAGAGAGAGAGAGAGAGAAGAGAGAGAGAGAGAGAGAGAGAGAGAGAGAGACTGGTATGTACTTTCCCGCCAATGCTCTATCACATAGTCAATATACAAGTAAACATTATTCTTTATCATGCTACGTGTGTGTCTACTTGGCTCAGATAATGACTCTTAAATTATCTGAATTGACCTCCCCAGTATGTTATAAGAGCCAATTTGAAGTCTTCAACATTTCCCTCCAAACTTCACCTTCTCAATTGGGTTTTTTGTAGGGCGGGTCATGGTGTACTGCAAGAATTCGAAGAAGAGAAAACTTTGAGGGGAATGAGAAACAAGATTATTATTATTACTATTATTCCTTTACCATT